CCAGTTGCTATGACGTGCACTGACCATCAGGGGGCAGACGCTCTGACCAGTAGGTTAGCTTGCTGCTGGGGTCTGGCCGATCAGGACTGAGTGAGACGGGCGGGACACGCCCTGGAGCCCTCCCGTGGTCCCTCCCTGGCCCCAATCAATTGTGCACTGGTGAGGTCCCTTCGCCTGGCCTGAGCCCTGTCTCAATCCGGGATCCCTGGAGGAATGTCAGAGAGCCAGTTTCAGCCCTATCCCACAGGCCACTCCCCTCGTGAGGGCACCAGATGCAGAGCTCATGGCTGGTGAGTGCTGCTGCAGTGCGAGCCTCTTCTGATTGGGACGGATTGGGTGTGAGCCTGTGGCAGGTGCAGTGGGGCCGGGATGAGTAGGAGTGGCAGGTAGGAACTGCAGGCAGTGTTGGATTGTGGATTTTGGCTCAATCCCCGCAGGCCACCCAGAGGGACCCCACCCATGAACGAATTTGTGCACTGGGACTCTAGTTATTGTAATATTATTGACAATATTCCTTATGTTGTGCTTTATACCCCAGTGATTATTTTGTAACTGCTATTTGTACTTCTTAATCTCTTCACCTTTTTACCTAGTCTCCCCTCTGCCAATCAGCAGTCTGTTCTCTGTATCTATGAGCCTGTTTCTATTTTTTGTTTATTTTGTTCTTTAGATTCCACATATAAGTGAAATATATGTTATTTGTCTTTTGCTGACTTATTTCACTTTACATAATGCCCTCTAGGACCATCCATGTTGTCTCAAAAGCTAATATTTCATTCTTTATTATGACTGAGTAGTACTCCATTGTGTATATATACCGCAACTTTTTATCCACTCATCTGTTGATGGGCACTTGGGTTGCCTTACACTTTATCAGTTGAACAATCTGGGCCACTTAACATACAACGTGTCTTGCAGCCTGGACTTTTTTAATTGCATCCTTATGGTGAAGTTCAGCACCCTCTGGAGTGTCTGCAGGAGAAAGTGCTGACAAAGTTTAAATGGGTTTCAGCCATGGGCAAACTACGGCCCGAGGGCCGGATCCGGCCCGTTTGAAAAACTAAAAAAAAAAAGACCGTACCCTTTTATGTAATGATGTTTACTTTGAATTTATATTAGTAGTTCACACCACTCCATCCATGCTTTTGTTCCGGCCCTCCGGTCCAGTTTAAGAACCCATTGTGGCCCTCGAGTCAAAAAGTTTGCCCACCCCTGGGTTTGATGGTGAGGGCCAGGCTAAGAAATGCAGATTTTTGTCCTGTAAAGTTGTGAGAGTTAAAGAATGGGTTTGAAGAGGGAACTGCTAACACCCAGAAGAACAAAAGAGACTGCAGTTATGCAGACTCTGAGATTATTGCAGAACTTCAGAATTGAAACAAAAAATCTTAGCTTTGTTGATAGTGGTGGGAACAAAAAATGGGGATGGATATTAGTGAAGTCATACAAGAAGAATCAAAAGAATCTGCTGACTTAGAGGCAAGGGATAGGCAACTCTCAAACTTTTGATAATAATCACTATAAAATGCATTTGCATATTTCATATATAAGTACATCCTATATAATAAAAGCCTAATATGCTAAGTGTCTGGTCAACCATTCAACCAATCAAAGCATAATATGCTAATGATATGCTAAGGCCACTCAACTGCTCCCTATGATGTGCACTGACTACCAGGGGGCAGACGCTCTGATTGGTAGGTTAGCTTGTTGCTGGGGTCCGGCCTATCGGGACTGAGCGAAACGGGCTGGACATGCCCTGGAGCCCTCCTGTGGTTCCTCCCCAACTGGCCTACCTCCCACATCCCTCCCTGGCCCCAATCATGCACTGGTGGGGTTCCTCATCCTGGCCTGCACCCTCTCGCAATCTGGGACTGTGGGGGCTGTCGGAGAGCCAGTTTCGGCCTGATCCTGCAGGCCAGGCCGAGGAACCCCACTGGTGCATGAATTCGTGCACTGGGCCACTAGTATATGTATAACAGAATTGAACAGTCTAAGAAACAATATTTACTTTTACTCTGATTGTTCTATTTCCTTCATTTGATATTTCTAATTCCTTCATTTCTATTTTATTTCAAAATAACCCAGTGTTAACCCACTAAGTGATTTATCCCCCATTTGAATACTATGTCCTAAGGAATATGATTTAAGACAGATCACAAAGGTATCACTTCCCAATTCCTTTTACTGATGTTGCATTTCTAGCATTGGAAATCAAGATTTTGGTTCTCTGTTAAAGCAAATGTCTTTGGAAAGGGGCTCAGCTTTGCTAATATTATGCCTTAAAGTAAATGATTTGTTAATTTTTCTGGAAAGCCAGTGTGTTGAAGGGGAGAATAGAGAAATGCAGGAGCTTGAAATGTGTGCCTGAAATGGAACAATGGTGAGAAAGGTGCTGAGAGAGAAGTGTTACCTTTACCATTTTCCTGAAGGTTACTATAGCTGGCCCAAAATAAAATGAATATTTACTGCTAGAAAAGACTTTAGCATCTGGCCAGCATGACTCAGTGGTTGAATGTGGACCTATGAACCAGGAGGTCATTGTTTGATTCCCGGTCAGGGCACATGCACAGGTTTTGGGCTTGACCCTGAGGAGGGGGTGTGCAGGAGGCAGCAGATCAGTGATTCTCTCTCATTGTTAATGTTTCTATCTCTCTCTCTCCCTTCCTCTCTGAAATCAATAAAATAAATATATATGTATATATACATATATACAGATAAGCTAGCTAGATAGATAGATAGATAGATAAAGAAGAAAAAGACCTTAGCAGTTCATTCTCTGAATGAGAAGGAAAGAATCCAGAAGAAGGTTAAACCAGGATTGGGAAACAGGGCAATCATGCATCATTTGTTAACTCTGCAGATAAGGTATTAACCAGTGCAGCTGGAAGATGGAAGACAGGGAAGGGAGTGGTCTGGAATTACCCGGAAAGGAGGGGAGTGTGGTGTGATTATCTCTATTAACCAAGAGATGTCAATGGACCATAATAAACT